TAAACTTCCCTTTTCTCCTCACTTCCCTCTGAATCAAAGAAGGACCAGCTGTTTTCACTGGCTCCTTTCCCCACAAGATTATGATATCAAAATCAAGGGAAGACCATTGTCTTCTATTGTCTTTTTCCTCCTAAGATGTAATTAAAAGCATGGGAGTCAGTGTTTTATTACTGGTTCAGCTACTTGATCTGAATTGGGAGGCAGGATTTGTCAGTGCTACTTATTACAATGACTAGTACTGTTGTCTTTCATTTATAGTGACCATTTTAACATTAGTGACCATTTTAACATTATCTTTGATTTATATTGATAATATTGAATATTAATACTTAAACTTAACATTTAATATTGCTATTTAATAGCTGCATAATTTCCTATAATTGAACCTACACCTTGTTTTGTTTTGTTTATTATTTTTGGCTGAGTTGGGTCTTAGTTGTGGCACATAGGATCTTTCGTTACAGTGCGAGGGCTTCTCTCTAGTTGTGGCACGTAGGCTTCTCTCTAGTTGTGGAGCACAGGCTTAGTTGCCCCGTGGCATGTGGGATCTTAGTTCCCTGACCAGGGTTCAAACCCGCATCCCCTGTATTGGAAGGCTGATTCTTAACCACTGGGCCACAAGGGAAGTCCTCCTACACCTTGGTTTTGTACATTTAGCTTGTTTCCAGCTTTTGTTGTCACAGCCTTCCTTGAAGCTAAATCATCATGCATATCAAATACTATTTATGTAGGATGAATTCCTAGAAATAAAATTGCTGGATCAATGGATATACACCTTTGCTCTATATTGCCAGATTACTTCCAAGAATATTTTGCCAATCTTATGCCCACTTAACAGTGTTTCAGCATGTTCTTTTCTCCTCGTACCACCACTGGGTTTTATTATTTTAAAAGGTCTTTACCAGTTTGAAAGATGACAATATTAATTTCCATTTTAAAATTACAAATTAGGTTGAGCAATTTATTTAGTAACCATTCTTCTGTAAGCTATCTGTACATGTTTTATGTCTGTTTTCCTATTCCATTTAATTCTTTCTTTTTGTAAGAACTCTTTACTAAAGATATTAATTAACTTGGTTGTGTTATAAGTTGTAATGATTTATTCAGTTTGTCATTTACTTTTTAGTTTTGTTTATATTGTTAAATAAACCGGTCCACCTGGCTAAACAGCACAAGGAAGGTAAATGAGAGACTACAGGAGAGGGCTTCATAATCACCACACGCATGGTGTAATTTAAAGGAATCCCCTCCTTTGATTATTATTAATGCCTGTGTTATGCATCTGGCAGATTGAAAATGGAAGCCCTGACTGACAGGGAGCATGGAATGACAGACCTGGACAGTGGAGATGAAGCCCAGCTTAGTGGAGGGCAACCTGCAGAGGAAGCGCTGGGTGAACGCACTCAGACAGCTGAACCTGAAACCTGGTCTCTTCCTTTGAGTCAGGATAGTGGGAGTGAACTGCCTGCCAGCCAGCCTCAGCCCTTTGCAGCCCAGAGAGACATGGAAGAGGAAGACATAATAATAGAAGACTATGAGAGTGATGAGACATAGAAAGCAGCCTGCCCATGAGATTGTTACTTGACAGATTCATATTCGTTTTATTCAGTGGTACTTGAACAGAGATAATAGACTTTTCAGGTGAATTAGTTTGTTAATTCTTCACTCTTGTAGTATTTCAGCACAGAGAACTGATTTCTGTCATGTTGAAGTAAATAGAAGATCAAACCTTCAAATAATCTCTTAATCTTTTTCTCTAGTATTTATTTAGCCTTGTGAGTGGTGTTGGGAGAGGTCAGTGTGTATGAAATGTGTTTGAACATTATGCCAAATATCAGAAAATGTGAAGGAATAATTCAGAATACAGAAACTCTGTGGGTTGTAAATAAGAATTATAAAAGTTTAGGATGCAATTAAGAGTGTAAATAAACTTTGTGCCTTATTCACAATTTCTCTGGTCTCTAGCTTCTTCAGATACCATTTTTATATGTTGTACAGTGGAATATTTTAGATACTTTCTGGAAACTATTTACATAATTTATATCAAAATTAAAATGTTGAATTTGTTCTGTTCTGTTTTGTTTTGTTTCTCCTGTCCTTCAATGATTCTTAACACGCACGGTCTGCCATGTGTCACTGGTCATAGTACGCAAGTCTCCTTCATCCAGTGCCAACCTTTTTCAAAAATAGAAAGGAGGGGGATTGCAACCTTGCGAAGAAAACTTTCCGGAGGGTTTGCTCTCACCTTTAACGACCTTTCCAGAGCTCTCCTAGCTGTTGCCCTGAGGTGCGGTGGGGGTGAGGGCACCGACCCGCCCGGGCCCCAGGCGGCAGTCCGGGCCTGACAAAGCCAGGCGGGGCGAAGTTCAGCTCGGCCCGGCCCCGCCCCCGGCGCCCAATCCCGGTTTCAGAGCCGCGGGCGGCGGGCGCGCACTTCCCGGCGGCTGCGCAGGTGAGCTGGGCGCCAGGGGTGGGGCCCACGTGACCGGGGCGTGGGCGGGGAGGGGCCGGCGGACCCCGGGCAGGCGCGCGGCGTCTGGGGTAGCCCTCGGCGTCCCTCGGCGTCCCTCGGCCCCTAGAAACGGCGCGCTCGCTGCGCGGCCGGCCACTACCTGCGCCCGAGGCCGGAGGCCGACGCGGTAAGGGGTGCGGGGCCCCGGGGAGAGCGGGGGGCCTGGGAGGCTGGAGGGCCCCTCGGCCGGCCAGGTTTCATTCGGCGGACACAGGTGCCGGGCGAGACGCGCCCACCCCCGGCCGCGAAGCCGCGGTCCTTCCGGGCGCGGGGTTATCCCGAGCTGGGCACGTCCGGCCCGATTTAGTTCCGGCCACTTCGGGGACAATCTCGGGAGACGAAGAGTGTATTTTCCCTCTGACGTGGAGACGCGCACCTGGGTGGGCAGAGCTGAGTACTGAGCGAGGTTGGTGGGTCGGGGACGTAGCGCCGAGCCGCGGCCTGGGGAAGGACCCCGGACGAGGATGCTCTGTATTCCCGGGCACTCGCTCGAGGGTTCAGTTCAGAGCGCAGGGGATTTCCCATCCCCCTGGAAACCCAGAAACGTCTGAAATCGGCCCCTTTCTCGGGGCCAGCAAAACTTTAAAGCCAGCTTAGTGGTGATTCTGTTGGTGTAAAGGTGACCAACTGGATTCCTGTAACACTTCGCTGGGGAGAACCATTTCTCCTCCCACCGCTTTGACTTGCGGAGATTTGTGTGCCAACAGAATGGAGTCGGGCCCCGGCGGCTGGAACAAAACAAAGACCCGCTCTGCCTCAGCGTGCTGATTCTAAGTGGACTCTCAGTGACACCCTGAGAGATGCTAGGGGTATCCAGACATTGAAATGTGGTAAAATACAACTGACCATTATTCCCTTCCAAAATCACATAATTTGCTATTCCACAATTCTTCAAATTTGTAATTTTGGCTTTTTATTTAAACACTGATAAGGTGATCTAATTCAAATAAGCCACATTTCACAGGTGAGCATGAATTAAATCCATTATAGTGAAGCATACTTTTGCCAGTGAGTTTAATTAAGCAACCAGTGTCCTTTAAATGCCTGTATATCAAAGATATTGAAGGATATGTAAAACTTGCTAAAGTTATTTGTTGTGCTTTTGCCTCTACTATTTTTAGGAAAATATATTTCAAGAATTATAGTAGTACTATGCATTCCTAGAATTTAAATGTTTTTAGACAACAGATAAAGCGATGAAAGACAAAAAGGTAACTTTTAATTGCTATCATTATAGAAATTTTTTTCTGTACTAAATTTTTTTCTCCTGCTTTGCATTGGGCACCATGCTGGGACTCACAGTTAATTCTCTAAAATTGGAGTGGCCCATTAGAAGACCCTAGAATTTAGACCTCTTCTCCATCTCCACCCCCAGGTGATTGTATTTAGTCTGTGTAGTATATACACTTCTGTGGGTAGACTGCCTACTTGATACCTTTACCTGGACTTCTAACAGGTATCTCAGACTCTCTTCAGGCTGCTTCTCCCAGGACTAAGCTGGAGGGTTGGAGAAATGTTGCAGATGAAATGATCTGGGATTTGCTTTAAAGTAATCTATTGACAAAAGGAATACGGTAGAGGGTATAGATGAAACAAGATTGGTCATAAATTGATAATTATCGAAAGTGGTTGATGGGCACATAAGGGCTCATAATACTGTTCTTTCCACTTTTTATTGTCTTTGGAAATTTCTAAAATAAAAATTTTTAATTCCCTGAACATAGAGTTTAAGCTCTTCTTGCTATCTTCGTTGCTACCACCATGGTCCATTGGATTACAGTTGGACAACACAGGTTTGAACTGCAGGGGTCTGCTTATATGCGTTTTTGGTTTTTTTTTTCAATAAATATGTACTGCGGTGCTGTGTGGTCTGCAGTTGGTTGAATCCGTGGATTCGGGACCACAGCTACATATTACCAACTATAAAGTTACACTTGGGTTTTTGACTGCGAAGAGAGTTGGTGCCCCTAATCCCTGTGTTGGTCAAGCGTCAACTGTATTTCACTGGCCTCCTAGCCAGTCTCCCTCTTTTCACCCTTTTCTCCTGGAAGGTACTCTTAACAGAGCACCCAGAGTGATCTGGTTAAAATAAGTCATATCATGTCAGACCTTTACTGAAAATTTTCCAGTGGCTTCTCACTCCCAGTAGAAGCCTAAATCTTTCTAATGATTTTTATTTATTTTTTAAATTTATTTTATTTATTTGTTTATCTTTGGCTGCATTGGGTCTTCATTGCTGCGCGCGGGCTTTCTCTAGTTGTGGCGAGCAGAAGCTCCTCTTCATTGCAGTGCTCAGGCTTCTTATTGTGGTGTCTTCCCTTGTTGCGGACCACGGGCTCTAGGTGTGTGGGCTTCAGTAGTTGTGGCACGTAGGCTCAGGAGTTGTGGCTCAAGGGCTCTAGAGTACAGGCTCAGTAGTTGTGGCGCAGGGGCTTAGTTGCTCCGCGCATGTGGTATCTTCCCGGACCAGGGCTCAAACCCGTGTCCCCTGCATTGGCAGGTGGATTCTTAACCACTGCACCACCAGGTAAGTCCCTCTAATGATTTTTAAGCCCTAACGTTTCAGATGGCCTCAATTCTACTACTCACCCTCTCACTCACCCTGCTGCTGCCTCCATTCCTTAACAGTTCTCGAACATGCCAGGCACTCCCACTTTAAGGCTTTTACACGAGCTGTTCCATCTGTGTGGAACACTTATACCTGCCTGGCTTCCTCCCTCATTTCCTTCATTTCTATATTCAGGTGTCATGTTCTCTCTGAAGACTTCCCTCGTCACTCTGTTTAAAATTATAACACCCTGTCCACACTGCACTTCTTATCCTCTTTCTTAACTTGTTCCTTGGCATCCGATATATTTCACTTGCTTCATCTATCATTTGTCACCCCCGCTCCCCCACTGGAATTTAAGCTCCATGAAGGCAAGGATTTCCATTGGCTTTGTTCACTGATACATCTTCAGCAAGCCTGGTGCATGGCAGGCACTTGGTAAATACTTGTTGAGTGATAGATCTCCATTTTACAAAGTAAAACAAAACAAAGCCTTAGGAATTTCTAAATTGTTCAACACCGTAAAGGTGGGATTACCAGCTTTAATTTTGAGACCTTCATAGTGCCAAGTACAATGCCATGTGTCCAGCGAGTCTTCAGTAAATACTCATGAGCAGTTTGAGGGAGAAGATCATTGTGCCTTAAACATAGTAGTTATATTAGCAAATAGTTTCCTTTTTACATACATGTCCAGGTTATTGATTTCATGAAGGAAATCAACAAGTTTGATAAAAAGTGCTTTTTCTATGCTTTATTTTTCAGGTGGATTGAATACCCTGTAAGATACTTTTTGGGTCTTTCCATGGCAACAGCAAGTCACCTTTAAATAATTGGTCTGGAAAGAGTGATGTCCATGGCCATTGCTGTGGCTCTGTGCTGTACTTTCAGGGAACCTTACTTAGCCTTTGGTGATTTTTTTTTTCTGAGAATTCAATTTTTTATATCTAGTATCAAGTGTTATACTATTAGAGTGGAAGAAGCAACTCCCGTAATGTGACTTCCCGAGTTAGAAAAGAAAGGGACTCTCCACTCCCTGTGTTTATCAGACTGCTTCTCCTGGGCCATTCCAAAGCAGACTTGAGTTAATGAAAGTGAAGAGTATTTGCTGACCCATCACATTTTGGTATGTCAACTCTTAAATATGTTGATTTAGATATTTGAGGAAAGAACTCTTACTTGGAATGTGTTAGCATCCTGTATTATTAAAATTTAGTCTCATTTTTGGTTTTTTGCATTTTGTTGTTTATAGGGCTCATAGGTAAATTCAACTTATGTTTTAATCAAGAGCTAAGATTTAAAATTTTGATTGCCCTTAAAATCTCATAGAATGATTAGTAGATCCCTGGCTAACATAATTGTTACACATGTTTAAAGTGTACATAATTTCTGTTGTCATTTTTATATATCATAATAATTAGATATGATCATGTTGGTTTCCTGAATATGATCATTTGCTACAAAGTGAATAAAACCAGCATCATTGAAAGGATAAATAGCTAAGCATAAGTGATAACTTTAATCTCGGCCCCAGGTGTGAACATCACAAATGTTGTCAAATGACGGAAGATCCAGGAATCGGGACAGGCACTACGATGAGGTCCCAAGGGACTCAGACTATCAAGATGGCACCGTAAGAACCTTCCAGACTCTTCACGACAGTGAGCTGGCTGTGAGCGCTGATCCGTTGCCACCACCCCCTCTCCCATTACAGCCACCATTCGGCCCAGAATTCTACTCAGGTGACACAGAGGAACCGGCCGTAGCACCAGATCTCAAGCCTGTAAGGCGCTTTGTCCCTGAGTCCTGGAAGAACTTCTTCAGAGGGAAGAAAAAGGACCCAGAGTGGGATAAGCGGGTGTCAGACATCAGATACATCTCCGATGGAGTGGAGTGTTCACCTCCAGCCTCTCCTGCAAGACCAAACCACTGTTCACCCCCCAACTCCTGCGAAGATCCTCAGGGCGGGTCAGAAGGCAGCTGTCGTTCCCGGAAAGAGGCCGAGGCAATGTTTCCCCAGGATCCCTATGGATCCCTAGGCCGACGCACACACACAGCCCGAACCTACAGTGAGAAGGTGGAGGAGTATCACCTGAGGTATTCCTACATGAAGTCATGGGCAGGCCTGCTGCGGATTCTGGGCGTGGTGGAGCTGCTTCTGGGGGCCGGCGTCTTCGCTTGTGTCACGGCGTACATTCACAAGGACAGCGAGTGGTATAACCTGTTTGGATATTCACAGCCCTATGGCATGGGAGGCGTTGGTGGCCTGGGCAGCATGTATGGGGGCTATTACTATAGTGGTCCCAAAACCGCTTTTGTGCTTGTGGTTGCTGGATTGGCTTGGATCACCACCATTATTATTCTGGTGCTTGGCATGTCCATGTATTATCGGACCATTCTTTTGGACTCAAATTGGTGGCCCCTAACTGAATTTGGAATTAACATCTCCTTGTTTATCTTGTACATGGCCGCAGCCATAGTCTATGTGAATGATACCAACCGAGGTGGGCTCTGCTACTATCCATTATTTAACACGCCAGTGAATGCAGCGTTGTGCCGGGTGGAAGGAGGACAGATAGCAGCAATGATCTTCCTCTTTGTCACCATGATTGTTTATCTCATTGGAGCTTTGGTTTGCCTAAAGTTATGGAGGCACGAGGCGGCTCGAAGACATAGGGAATTCATGGGGCAACAGGAGGTAAGGGATTTCGTGATCTTTGTTCTTTCTTTCTGTTTACTCCTTAAATATGTATAGTTCTCGAAACAAAGCTGTTGTTGTTTTTAAGGGTCTGAAGTTCAAAAGGCCCCACTCAGCATCTGACATGCTCTGACCAGGATAACCCACTCTGGTGTGTCATTTGTAGAATGTTGCAGGTAGACCCCAGATGTGTAATACAATATATAGTTTGTCGGTTGCAGTATTGTCTGTCTGATACTTAAGGGGAAAACAACTACTGAATTTCTACAAAGAAGAAATGATGATAATACCTGCATAAGATTATATAAAAGCCCTATTAAAAATATTTTTTTTGGAATGGTAGCAAAAATGTTAGAGTATGTTCTGCTAACTTCATTATTCCCTGAAATAAGTTGATGTTTTGCTTTCTTCTAAGGAGGAGTGTGTAGTAGAATTTCCTGTGCCTCTGAAAATGTCAGTATTACCTTAAATATTTTCTTAATTTTAAGTCAACTATACCGTGCATTTTTTTCCCCACTTTTCCAAAGACTTCCTAGGTACAATGGCAGATGGTGTATATTGGGCAAAACTATAGCTAAAAATAAAATCCTTCCTTATATACTCAGTAACCTACGTATTTACTCACTGACCTATGTATTTTTTTAATCATATTCATAACAGCAAAAAACTTGACTAACTTTATAATAGGTACCTTATGTGTTCTATACAGAACCCCATACTCTAGTGTCATAAAATATATTTATCTTACTAGAATTTGACATAGATTCAAGTTGTTTCTAAAAATTTATCTCAGCACTGTAAGCGTTTTTTAAAATTTTATTTATTTAATTATTTTTGGCTGCATTGGGTCTTCGTTGCTGCATGCAGGCTTTCTCTAGTTGAGTTGAGCGGGGGCTACCCTTCGTTGCGGTACGTGCGTGGGCTTCTCATTGCGGTGGCTTCTCTTGTTGTGGCGTGCGGGCTCAGTAGTTGTGGCTCGTGGGCTCTAGAGCGCAGGCTCAGTAGTTGTGGTGCACGGGCTTAGTTGCTCCACGGCATGTGGGATCTTCCTGGACCAGGGCTCAAAGCTGTGTCCCCTGCATTGGCAGGCAGATTCTTAACCACTGCACCACCTATTTTTTTAATTTACATCTGTGTATACAAAGTAAGGAACTTTAAATTCTAATCAGTGTGAAATCCAGATAGTGAAGCACACACTTCCTTATAATTTTATGTAAGTTTATTAACAATGGAGTTCTTAATATCATTTCAAATTCTACATGAATATGACTGTTATCAACAGTACTTTTATTTCTTTTCCTTTTCTCAACAAAAATTTGTTTTTATAAGACTTATGGTTAATTAAACTTGAGTCACCTATGATTCCTGTTTGTGTGTTGCTGTAACTTCCTAAGCGTTAAAATACATAATGGCATATAGCTTTTTTCTATTAATTTTATAATTTAACCATCCCAAACTCTTTAATCGTGCAAGGTAATAGGAACCAAGAATAAATAAAGTCTCTAGGTAATTCAGAGCAACTCACATAAGAGTCACCACTATCTCCATATTTCCAACTCTGCTCTCTGCTCCTGATTGACAGGGAATCACAGTTATCCCTCCTCCTCTGGTTCTCCACTGGCCCATCAAAACGTGGCCAAAAGAGTAGGAGGATCATCTGTATGGTAGAGAATCAACATCTGTAAAGTTGAGATTGGGCTATAGATGCAAATGGACAAAAATATTTGCAAAGTAGCTTCACACACCTCTGAAAAGTCATTTTAACTCTTTTTGTTCCAGATAAGTGAGCAATCATTGCCATCGAAAAGGAAAATGGTAAGAATAAAGCTCACGTTATATTTTATCTCTAGATTTGTTAAATAATTTTCTCTCTTACCTGTTTAGAGTAGACCATCTGTCTGTAAAAGTGTATCTGTTGCATTAAGTTCATAATACGACTTTCAGCTTTCTTTTCTTTTTTTTTTTATTCTTTTTAAAATTTTATTTATTTACATTTTGGCTGTGTTGGGTCTTCGTTGCTTGCGTGGGCTTTCTCTAGTTGCGGCGAGTGGGGGCTACTCTTCATGGCGGTATGCAGGCTTCTCATTGCAGTGGCTTCTCTTGTTGTGCAGCACGGGCTCTAGGCACGCTGGCTTCAGTAGTTGTGGTGCGCGGGCTCAGTAGTTCTGGCTCGTGGGCTCTAGAGCGCAGGCTCAGTAGTTGTGGCGCACAGGCTTAGTTGCTCCACAGCATGTGGGATCCTCCCAGCCCAGGGATCGAACCCGTGTCCCCTGCATTGGTAGGTGGATTCTTAATCACTGTACCGCCAGGGAAGTCCCTCAGCTTTTTTCTAATACTAAGAGGACCAAATCAGACAAGGCTATTTGTAGCATCTTTTAATTGTGTTAAATAAAGCTTCTACAAGTGAACCTAGTTGGTTCTCCTTACATATTTAAATTTAATTTAAAAAAAAATTTTATTATTTATTTATTTATTTTTGGCTGCGTTGGGTCTTCGTTGCTGCACACGGGCTTTCTCTAGTTGCGGCGAGCCGGGTCTACTCTTCATTGTGGTGCACGGGCTTCTCATTGCGGTGGCTTCTCTTGTTGCAAAGCACAGGCTCTAGGCACGCAGGCTTCAGTAGTTGTGGCACGTGGGTCTAGAGCACAGGCTCAGTAGTTGTGGTGCATGGGCTTAGTTGCTCCGCAGCATGTGGGATCTTCCCAGACCAGGGTTCAAACCCATGTCCCCTGAATTGGCAGGCAGATTCTTAACCACTGCGCCACCAGGGAAGTCCCTAATTTATTTATTTATTATTTATTTATTTTTTTAAATTTTTTTTATTTTTTGCAGTATGCGGGCCTCTCACTGTTGTAGCCTCTCCCGTTGCAGAGCACAGGCTCTGGACACGCAGGCTCAGCGGCCACGGCTCACGGGCCCAGCCGCTCCGCGGCATGTGGGATCTTCCCAGACCAGGGCACGAACCTGCGTCCCCTGCATCGGCAGGCGGACTCTCAATCATGGCGCCACCTATAAATAGGGAATAGGGAATTCCTATTTATTTATTAGGGAAGCCCTATTTATTTATTTTTTAATAAAGGTGATTCTCCCAAATTTTCTTCAGTCTCTTTAAAGTTCTTCCCCATTATTTCCTATTCTTCTCACCTTGCTTTCAGATGCCAAATTTTGTTGTGTCAGGAAAGAAATCCCTATTCCACAATTTACTTAACTGCGTGACAATAGACAAGGTACTTAACCTTCCCAGGCCTTGGTTCCTTCATCCGTAAAATTGGAATAATAATAATTTCTGCCTCACAAGATTGCTTGATAAGATTAAGATGCTGTGGTTATAATTATTTACATATATGTAATAATTTAATGTATTTTAATAATCATAATTTTACCTCATTGAAAAGTTCTTTTTTAAGATATTGGGCATTATTTCTAAGCAAGAAGTTAAGAATTCAGCCTTTGGGTTTGTTTGTGTCTCTGAAAACGGAGTATATTCCCTTGGATCAAAATTCAAAAAGGTCTCTCACACAAAGTCTTCTTTCATCGTGTACCATGGCTTCCCAGTTCTCCTGTGGAGGCCCAGTGTTACCAGTATCCTGTGTGAGAGATATATACATATATATACACACACACATATATATATTTGCTTTCCTTCCTCTTTTACAGAAATGGTAGCATACCATACATGCTGTTATGTCCCTTATTTTTTTCACTTAATATATTTCTAAGGTAGTACATAGAAAATTTCTGCATTTTGGTTTACAACTACGTAAGTGTTGCATTTTATGGATGTACCATAATTTATCGTATATTAACATGTTTCCAGTCTCTCACTATTAAAAACAGTGCCACAGTGAATAACCTTATACATACGAATAAATACTTCCTTCTCTATATGTATTGGGGTGGCCAAAAAGTTTGTTTGGGTTTTTCCGTAAGATGATACAGAAAAACCCAAACGAACGTTTTCACCAACCCAGTACAAGTACACCTGAAATGTAAATTCTGAGAAGTGAATTTCTGGATGAAAAGCGGTGTACATTTTTGTTTTGACTGCTAGATTGCCCAGTAGAAATTCTACCAGTTCCCACCCCCAACAGCACTACAGGCTTCCTCACACCCGGACCAACACAGTGTCAGGAAATTTGTTAGCATCTATCAACCTGATAGGTGAAAAACGGTACTAATGTAGTTATAATTTGCATGTCTCTTATCAGGAGTGAGGTTGAGCATTTTTCATATATATATGTTTGCATTTTCTTCCTATTAACTGTCTGTTCATATCCTGTCCAGGTTTTTTATTGGGTTGCTGATTTGTATAAGTTCTTTTTGGTTAAGTGCATTCGTTTTGAAAATACGTTTGATGAGGTTCTTTTTAACTTTATTCTCTATGTTGTAACATACAAATATTACTTGAAAATGTTTTGTTCATGCTGAAATACGGAATTTATTAAGTGGATGAACGGCAGCCTATCCAAGCGATCATAATTAATACATTGCTGTCATCATTCATTCATTCATTGAACAAACATGTCACAGGCTGTGGGCCAGTGATATGGATACAACAATGGCATTATCTCCATTTTCCAGGGGCTTACAAATCTGGTGAAAAAGAAAAACACAGATGAAAGATTAGTAGAGTATGAGAGAGAGAGCAAGCCAGCAGGAAGTACAAAATTAAACTAACTTGCTTAGAGATTTGTGTTTCTATGACATCTCAGGAAATCAATTTATGAATGATGTCTCAAATTCAGCATTATTAAATGCTGAATTTAACAGTGGTTTTTATTTTTTATTTTTTTATTTTGTGGTACGCGGGCCTCTCACTGTTGTGGCCTCTCCCGTTGCGGAGCACAGGCTCCGGGCGTGCAGGCTCAGTGGCCATGGCTCACGGGCCCAGCCGCTCCACGGCATGTGGGATCTTCCCGGACTGGGGCACGAACCCGTGTCCCCTGCATCGGCAGGCGGACTCCCAACCACTGCACCACCAGGGAAGCCCTTTTTTTTTTTTTTTCTTTTTTGGCTGTGTTGGGTCTTCATTGCTGTGCTTGGGCTTTCTCCACTTGTGGCGAGCAGGGGTTTAGCGGTACACGGGCTTCTCATTGCAGTGGCTTCTCTTGTTGCGGAGCATGGGCTCTAGGCACACAGGCTTCAGTAGTTGTGGCACACAGGCTCAGTAATTGTGGCTCACAGGCTCTAGAGCGCAGACCCAGTAGTTGTGACACACAGGCTTAGTTGTTCCATGGCATGTGGGATTTTCCCGGACTAGGGCTCAAACCCGTGTCTCCTGCATTGGCAAGCAGATTCTTAACCACTGCGCCACCAGGGAAGTCCTTAAATGATTTCTGACACGTATGTAAAGTCATCTGAATTACAGTTGAGCTCTACTGTGGTTTTCTTGGATATCCATAAATCGTTAGAAATCAAGAGATATCTGACCAGTTCTGACTGACCAGGCATGGGATGAGTGAGGCTGGGATTAGCTGGTCTACAGAATACTGAAGAGTTTCTCTCTCACAGTGCAGTGTGGACCTAATGTTACAAACCTCTACAATTTACTCACTGTTCATAGAATTAGAGCAATACTGCTTTGTGTGTGTGTGTGTGGCATTTTGTTTGTTTGTGGGTTTTTTTGGCTGCACCTTGTGTCATATGGAGCTTCCCTGACTAGGGGTCAAATCGGAGTCCCTGCAGTGGAACCACGGAGTCTTAACCACTGCACTGCCAAGGAAGCCCTTGTTTGTTTTTTTATTGTACTTTGTTTTAACTTCCTGATTCCCTTGTGTTTAATTTGTTTTAAATGTTCATTTATTTATTCAACATTTATTGCTTCAAGATACACATTTCAATTAGACTCAGTGACACTAACAATCAGGAAGCTAAATAGATCATCAGTTTTAAGCTGTCTGAAATATACATATCAGGGGACTTCCCTGGTGGCACAGTGGTTAAGAATCTGCCTGCCAATGCAGGGGACATGGGTTCGAGCCCTGGTCCGGGAAGATCCCACATGCTACAGAGCAACTAAGCCTGAGCACCACAACTACTGAGCCCGTGTTCCAGAGCCCACGTGCCACAACTGCTGAAGCCCGCGCACCTAGAGCCCGTGCTCCGCAACAAGAGAAGCCAGCACAATGAGAAGCCTGCGCACCGCAACGAAGAGTAGCCCCCGCTCGCCGCAACTACAGAAAGCCTGTGTGCAGCAACGAAGACCCAAGGCAGCCATAAATAAATAAATAAACAAACAAACCAATCAGATATACTTGAAACTGATAAATAGTAGTTGCCTTTAGGAGGGTAACTGGCTAACTGTGAGGGGATAGGCAAAGAGGGAGACTTACTTTCCATTATGTATCCTTTTGGACCTTTTGAATTATACGTTATGTCTATACATTACCTATTCAAATTTTTTTAAGTTTTAAAAAAGTTAAGTTAGTAAATGCTCATTTCAAATATTGAGATAAGCAATATAAGGCTGATATTTAAATAATTAATAACACTGCCCTTTGTTTGAAATTTGAGTGCAAATTCCCTAACCTATGGCTGACTTCCAGTGTTAGTACAGAGATATAAGTGAGTTTGACCAAATGGAGAGGGCAGTCTTCTAAACTCAGAGTCATCGTTAAGAATGGCTTTGGCAGGGCTTCCCTGGTGGCACAGTGGTTGAGAGTCCCCCTGCCGATGCAGGGGGCACGGGTTCGTGTCCCGGTCCAGGAAGATCCCACATGCCGCAGAGCGGCTGGGCCCGTGAGCCATGGCCGCTGAGCCTGTGTGTCCGGAGCCTGTGCTCCGCAACGGGAGAGGCCACAACAGTGAGAGGGCCGCGTACAAAAAAAAAAAGAATGGCTTTGGCAGATTATTGCCAATACTCTCATTCAAGATTGCCATATTGCTATAACCCATTGGTAAATCCTACTCCCTCAGAGGGACTGACTAGGAAACTTATAAATTTTAGCCTGACCTGGAACAATAACCTTTGCTACATCACAGCCCAGTAAGAGTTCTAAAATAAAATTCACTGCAGGGAAAAGATCAAGCTTAATCAGACTTTGGTTTAGAAGATGGATCTGGATTAGAAGTATTGCTCAGAATGGAAAAGAGGCCTAAAAACATACAAGAAAAAATATATAAGGAGACTCACTTTCTAAAAGTTGACACTCTTGTTGACAGATGATATCAAAATCTGAAGTCAGAATGTTAACATCAGGAAGTATGTTTCGGAACATCTCCAGGGGCACAAGAGAAGAATCTCTTTGCTTGGTGGGGGTTAAAGGTGGTATGCCTTTTGTGGATGTTGACTGCACAGCACCAGGCTGGGTGGGACTGTCTCACTAAGCTGCAGTGTGGCAGTGACACAGCAATGGTGGTCATTCTTGGTCAGGGTGGATCTTATGGGCCTTCTGATCAGTCCCTGAGGTGCTGGGACTTACCAAGGGGATTAAGTGCAGGGTAGAGTCAACCTGAAGGGCTTGGCTGAGCTGGAGGAAGTTGCCCGAAATGATGGGGTAGTCTGATGTGGCTTCTGCAGGTGGTACGGGATTAGGAAGATCTGCTGGAGAGTTCTAGGTAGGTCTTTTCAGCTGCCCTGGAAGGGTGGTGCCTAGTATGTCCAGGGTGTGTTGCAGCATCTCAGATCCTGAGAGGTCCTGGAATAATCGGGAATAACCTTAGTGGAGTTAGAATCCCCATTCCTAAGACTCTTTGAGAATCATATCAGTCCAGTTAACGTCTGCTTGTTCAAGATATGGGAGCAGAATGCAAAGAGCATCCTTTCAAAGGCCTCTTTTCCTGGGAGATGGGTCACTGTGGATCAACATATTTAAATGTATTCAGAGACAGAGGCAATCTCATGACTTAATTGAGGAATCTCTGTTGGACTTACCAATGGGAACCTTATAGGAAAGGTTGAATCTCCAGCTTCTCATTGGGTATGATTTTCCCCTGCTTCCTTCCCAGCTCTTGGTAGGGAAGAATTTGCAGATGACCACAGGAGGGGCAGTGTAGTGTGGTGAAGAGAAGATAAACTTTGGAATCAGGCAAATTTGAATTTGAGTACTACTAACTCTGAGATTCAGGGGAAATTACTTACCCTCCCTGAACTTAGTTTCCTGTCCCTTGTCTGGAACTATCAGCTAGGCTGTCCCTTCTTGTTTTGTATTTTCACGAACACAATTTTTAAAAAGCAAATAAGGTCATTTAAAAAATAAATAATATATATAGAGTAAGATCAAACAGAGACAGAAACAAATTCTAATAAGTCCCTACGTGTTGAGTAGATTGCTTTTCTAAACTAGAAAAGTCAAAATCTAATCTGGGTATCAAAAGTAATAGTGTGGGTTTGGCATTGGGGTCTATGCATCATTACATCATACGCTCAAAGGGAAGGAGAATCAGAAATTGGACAAAAGCACCCTGAAACACATGTCTGGCTCTCCCTATTTCTAACTTGACAGCGTAGTCATTCAGCCCATTTTTTAAAAATTAATTAATTTTATTTTTGGCTGCACAGGGTCTTCGTTGCTGCGCGCGGCCTTTCTCTAGTTGCAGCAAGCGGGGGCTACTCTTCCTTGCAGTGCATGGGCTTCTCATTGCAGTGGCTTCTCTTGCTGCAGAGCACAGGCTCTAGACACGCGGGCTTCAGTAGTTGTGGCATGTGGGCTCAGTAGTTGTGGCACGTGGGCTCAGTAGTTGTGGCACATGGGCTCAGTAGTTGTAGCACATGAGCTCAGTAGTTGTGGCACACAGGCTCTAGGGCGCAGGCTCAGTAGTTGTGGCACACGGGCTTAGTTGCTCTGCGGCACGTGGGATCTTCCTGGACCAGAGCTTGAACCCGTGTCCCCTGCATTGACAGGTGGATGCTTATTAACCACTGCACCACCAGGGAAGCCCTATTTTAGCTCTTAAGGTCTGCCCCCATGCTTCCTCCTTGGGCATTTCTGTCTCATGTTCTTTCCCCCTCTTTGAATGGATCCTTTTCCTACAGAGACCTCTAGGAGCTCTCCAGTGTAGAAGCCAGGTGACTTAAACCACTGTCTCCAGCATTCCCGTAGACCTCTTCAAGGAACCGCAGGTTAAGAACACCTGGGAAAGTAAAGCCATCCACCGCCCTTCCCTTGGTTTTGCTTGCTCTCTTTTTCAGATGATGAAACAATGTGACTCGTCCCCCATTCTGACCTACTCAGTGGCTACTTGTAATTGATTCATCTCAAGTTGCTGGTGTCATTTTTTTCTCTTTCCATTTAAGTTGACTTGTTCCTTTTTTTTTTTTTTTTTGCGGTATGCGGGCCTCTCACTGTTGTGGCCTCTCCCACCGCGGAGCACAGGCTCCGGACACACAGGCTCAGTGGCCATGGCTCACAGGCCCAGCCGCATGTGGGATCTTCCCAGACCGGGGCATGAACCCGTGTCCCCTGCATCGGCAGGCGGACTCTCAACCACTGCACCACCAGGGAAGCCCGACTTGTTCCATTTTTATCGCTGAATTTCTTACTTTGAACTACATTTTCTGTTCTTTTACAGTTAGTTGGGGTATACGTCTTAAATGTACTTAAGACACATTTACCATTTCATCATCCACCTTTGATGATCCCACAACTGGGATTAGAGGGTGTTTAATCTATTATATACTCTCGTAGCTCACTGTTTCCCCTTAACTGTTACAGAAGTGTTCTGAACAACTCTGTGACTATAAAACACGTAATTCTGAAGGGAAATTGTTGATTGCTGTCTCTACTCTTCTTCCTCCTGCTCCCACCCCCCAGGTTTCTTCTAAGAATAAAGTTGGGATTTTTGTTTGTTCTTCTGCCTTCATTTATAAATAAATCCTCTTTTTCTCTCTAACTGTAGTGTGACATGGCCACCGGTTGTGACAGACAGAGAGACCAAGAAGTTAATTTTAAAGAACTGAGAGCAACAAAAATGAAACCTGAGCTACTGAGTGGACATATCCCCGCTGGCCACATCCCGAAACCAATCGTGATGCCAGACTATGTGGCGTGAGTATCTACCTAAGTCCTTCTTCAAGGTAAAAATAGAGAGGTTCCATTTGGGTTTTCTCTTTTCTGTTTGTCTAGAAGTTAATACTCTGCTTAAAGTCAATTATATTTGAACAGTTGTTTGTTTCCTGGGAGGTAGTATATTGAATTGAAGGTACAGTATGGTCGTTGAGGAATAAGCTAATAAGCTGATTTCCTATTCCTCTTGTTTTAGTGAAAAAGTTATCACTTCAGTTTATTTTTTTTCTTCCAGTTTTATTGAGATATAATTGACCTATAGCAATGTATAAGTTTGAAATGTACAGCATAATGATTTGACTTGCATGCATCCTGAAATGATTATCACAGTAGGTTTAGTGACCATCCATCATCTCATATAGATAAAAAATTAAAGAAATAGAAAAAAAATATTTTCCTTGTGATGAGAACTCTTAGGATTTACTCTCTTAACTTTCATATGTAACATACAGCAGTGTTAATTATATTTATCATGTACATTACATTGCTAATACTTATTTATCTTATAACTGGAAGTTTATAGGTTTTGACTACCTTCATCCAATTCCCTCTCCCCCTACTTCCTCCCCCTGCCTCTGGTAACCACACATCTGATCTCTTTTTCTATGAGTTTGTCTGTTTGTTTTTGAAGTATAATTGACCTACAGCACTGTTAGTTCCTGGTGCACAACATAGTGAAATGTATATTTCTATACATTTCAAAATCATCCCCAGGATAACTCTGGTTATTATCTGTCACCGTACAAAGATATTACATAGTTATTGACTATATTCCCCATACTGTACATGTTGTACCTGTGACTCATTTATTTTGCATCTGAAAGTTTTTACCTCTTAATCTCCCTCACCTATTGCTTCACTTCCCCCACCCCCCACCCCTCTGGCAACCACCTGTTTGTTCTCTGTACCTATGAGTCTGTTTCTGTTTGGTTATGTTTGTTCAGTTATTTTGTTTTCTAGATTCCACATGTAAGTGAAATCATACAGTATTTGTCTTTCTCTGTTTGACTTATTTCAGCAAGCATGATACCCTCTAGGTCCATCCATGTTGTTGCAAATGGCAAGATTTCATTCCTTTTTTTTTTTTTTAACTTTTCATTTTGTATTGGAGTACAGCCGATTAACAATGTTGTGATAGTTTCAGGTGCACAGCAAAGGGACTCAGCCATACATATGCATGTATCCATTCTCCCCCAAACTCCCCTCCCATCCAGCCTGCCACATAACATTCATTCTTTTTTATGGCTCAGTAATACTCCTTTCAAACATTCTGTGTCTTTTGATTGGAGCATTTAGTCCATTTACATTTAAAATAATTATTCATAGGTGTGTACATATTGCCATTTTGTTAATTGTTTGGGAGTTGTTTTTATGGTTCTTTTTTGTTCCTTTCTTCTTCTTTTGCTCTCTTCCCTTATGATTTGATGACTATCATTAGTGTTATGTTTGGATTTCTCACTCTTTTTTGTGTGTGTATCTATTATAGATTTTTTTAAAATATTTATTTATTTGGCCACACCAGGTCTTAGTTGCGGCATGTGGTATCTTCATTGTGGCATGCAGGATCTTTAGTTGCCACATGTGAACTCTTAGTTGCGGTATGCATGTGGGATCTAGTTCCATGACCAGAGATTGAACCTGGGCCTCCTGCATTGGGAGTGTGGAGTCTTAGCCACTGGACCACCAGGGAAGTCCCATCTATTACAGATTTTTGGTTTGGGTTACCATGAGGTTTATACATAGCAAACTGTATATATATGTATGTATCTATCTGTGATTATTTTAAGTTGCTGATCTCTTAACTTTGAACACATTTTAACAACCCTATATTTTTGCTCTCCATCCCCAGCGTTTACTGTTTTTGACATCAAATTTTACATCTTTTTGCTTTGTGTCTCCCTTAACTACTTATTGGGGATATAGATGACTTTATGACTTCTGTCTTTTAACCTTCCTACTAGCTTTATAACAGGGCTGATTTACTACCTTTACTGTATATTTGTCTTTGCCAATAAGATTTTTCCTTTTGTAATTTTCAGATTTCTAGCTGTGGCCTTTTCTTTTCTACTTAGAGAAGTTCCTTTAACATTTCTTGTAAAGCTGGTTTGGTGGTACTGACTCTTCTATCTTTTGCTTGTCTGTAAAACTTTTGATCTCTCCAACAAATCTGAACAAAAGCCTTGTCAGGTAGAGCAGGGGTCCCCAACCCCAGGGCCGCGGACCGGTACCAGTCCCTGTTAGGAACTGGGCCGCACAGCAGGAGGTGAGGGGTAGGCAAGCGAGCGAAGCTTCATCTGCGGCTCTGCATCGCTCCCCATCACTCACATTACCACCTGACCCATCCCACACCCCCACCCCATCCATGGAAAAACTGTCTTCCATGAAACTGGTCCCTAGAGCCAAAAAGGGTGGGGACCACTGAGGTAGAGTATTCTTGGTTGTAGGTGTTTCCTTATCATCACTTTAAATATATTATGTCACTTCTTTCTGGCATGCAGATTTTCTACTGAAAAGTCATGTGATAGCCTTATGCCAGTTCCCTTGTAGTAAATTGTTGCTTTTCCCTTGCTGCCCAGGTTAAGGAAGTTTTCAGCTATTATGTCTCCAAATATGTTCTCTGCCCCTTTCTCTCTCTATTCGCCTTCTGGGACCCCTATAATGTGAATGTTAGTATGCATGATGTTGTCCCAGAGTTCTCTTTTTTTTTTTTCTTTTCTTTTTTCTGTTCCGCTTGAGTCATTTCCACTGCTCTGTCTTCCAGTTAGCTGATCCACTGCTCTGTATCGTCGAATCTACTCTTGATTCCTTTTAGTATATTTTTCATTTTAGTTACTGTATTCTTCAGCTGTGCTTAATATGTCTTTTTATTTTTTCACTCTTTGTTTAAAACTTTTAACTTCTCACTCTGTTCATCCATTCTTCTCCCAAGTTCTTTGAACATCTTTACAAGTATTATTGGGTAGTTTGCCTATTTCCACTTTACTTGGTTTTTCTGGAGTTTTATCGTGTTGCTTCACTTGGAACATAATTGCCTATAGCCTAATTTTGCCTAATTTGCTGTTTTATTTCTGTGTGTTTGGTAGGTTGGTTTTGTTTCTCGACCTTGGAGAAGTGGCCTTTTGTAGAAGACGTCCTGTGTCTTCTATATGGCTATATGCTCTAAGGGTGTCCCCTGTGTGGGCTGCGTGGGTCCTTCTGTTGTGGCAGGCTGACTACTGTGGGTGGTCTGATAGGCATGGCCAGCCCCCAGTCCTGTTGGTTGCCAGGCCCTGCCTTGTGTGGAGGCTACCAGCCACTGGTGGGTGGAGCTGGGCCGTAAGGTTGCTGTCTATGGAGTCCTGAGGGGTCCCAGGGCTAGTGCTGGTCCATGGATGGGCAGAACTGGTTTCCAAGGTTGGTGGTTGCAGGCCTGGGGATCCCATATCTAGTGTCAGCCTGCTTGAGTGAGACCGGTTCCTGACATGGCTGGCTGTGTGGGGTCCAGGTGTCTCAAAGCTGGTGTCAGATCCCAGGGCAGCTGGCTTAGGGGCCCAGAGTGTCTCAGCACTGACGTTGGCCTTCTGGTGGGTGTGCTGGCATCTGGGGGTCCTGTGACTTCAGCCTGCTGGTAGACAGGGCTGGGACCCAGGGGATCCTGGGGCTAGTACCAGCCCGCTGGTCGATGGGGCCAGGTCCTGGGGTCCTGGAGCTAGTGCTGGCCCACTGGTGGGCAGAGCTGGGTCCTGGGGTCTCTGGCTGCAGGGCCCAGGCGTCCCAGAGCTGGTGTTGGTCCTCTGGTGGATGAGATCCTGGCCCCATCCACCAGGGGGATCAGGGGATCTTAAGACAGCTGGCCTCTTGGTGGGTGGCACTGTGTCCCCACCTGGCTAGCTGCTTGGCCTGAGGCATCCCAGTACTGGTGCTGACAGGCTGGTGGGCAGGGCCCAGTCCCTTTGCCAGCAAGCTAGCGGGAGGATTACCGAATGGCGCCTGCCAGCACCAGTGTCCTCGTGGTAGAATGAGCTCCCCAACATAGCTACTGTCAGTGTCTGTGTCCCCAGGGTGAGCTCCAGTGGCCTCCTGCCTCTGCAGGAGGCTCTCCAGGATCAACAGGTGGGTCTGACCCAGGCTCCTTTCAGATCACTGCTTCTGCTTTGGGTCCTGGAGAGTGTGAGATTTTGTGTGCGCCCTGTAAGGGTGGAGTCTCTATTTCCCACAGCCCTCAGAGTCCCGAAAGTCAGCCCTGATGACCTTCAAAACCAAACATTCTCGGGGCTTGTCTTCCCAGTGCTGGGGAGCCCAATGTGGGGCTTAGACACCTCACTCATTGGGGAGACCCTCTGCACTTGCAATTATCCTCCCATTTGTGGGTCACCCACCCAAGGGTATGGGTCTTGACTATACCATGTCTCTACCCTCCTGTCCATCTGGTGGTGCCTACTTTATATCTTTAATTGTAGAAGATATCTTCTGCTAGTCGTCCAGTCTTTCTCATCAGTAGTTGCTCTGTAGATAGTTGTAACTTGGGCGTGCCCGTGGGAGGAGGTGGGCTCAGGGTCTTCCTCCTCTGCCATCTTGGCCACACCCCAACTTTGGTTTATTTTTTTCCTCAGGAAATACCCTATGATTCAGACAGATGATGAACGAGAACGCTATAAAGCTGTGTTCCAGGACCAGTTTTCAGAGTACAAAGAGCTCTCTGCAGAAGTTCAAGCCGTCTTGAAGAAGTTTGATGAGCTGGATGCAGTGATGAGCAGATTGCCACATCGTTCAGAAAACCAGCAGGTGAGTGCCTGCAGCTGCTGGGGAGGAGTTCTGATAGCGGAAGGATGAACTCTGACTTCGTTTGAATTGTAGAGAAGGCATGACCATCTGCATCTGCTGTCTAGGAAGCTCACTGGCAGGGTGACAGTTCAAAATATATAATTTAATGTCTTTTGCCTTCAATTATTAAACAGTATTTTATTTTCTTACTTAAGTATAAATTTGCCTAACATACATACCGGGTCAATCAGGGTCCCAAAGGAGACAGATAGCACACTCTAAGGTAATTTGAGGAATTTTTATTTGAGGTAATTTGAGGAAGGTTTATTCACAAATGGTGGACGGGGGTGTAGAGGAGCTGCCAGTGGCCATGCATTCTCCAGGGTAAGTCACAGCCAAGCAGTTAGCACCCCAAGCCCAGAGAGCACAGTGGGTAGGGACGGAGAGTGGATCTGAGGCTGCATACATGAGCTACAGGGCTCATGCTTCAGACCAATAACCGTGATTATGGCAGAGAAGAAAACGAGGGTGGAGATGGCAGTCATAGGGGACTGAAGTGTTTTCTCTAATGTTCTGTCTTTTTTTTTCTTCACATTTTAATATCTGGGAAATCAGGATGCCCTCATAATCAATGGCATTTTTTACCTGACATATATTTTTTCATTGAGAAATAATTCGCATACCATAAAATTCACTGCTTTTAAGTGTACAATTCAGTGGGTTTTAGTATTTTCACAAAGGGGTATAACCATTACCACTGTAATTCCAGAACATTTTCATCACCCCCCAAGAAATAACCCATACCCGTTAGCACTTTTTCCCCATTTCCCCTCTCTCCAACCACTGACAACTACTAATGTACTTTCTGTCTGTATGGGTAAATGCAGTGATATAATATGTGGCCTCATGTCTGGCTTCTTTTGCTTAGCATCATGTTTTCAAGGTTCATCTATGTGTCAAGAATCAATATTTCATTATTTTTTGTGGTGAAATAATAATATTCCATTGTATGAATATACCACATTTTTTTATCCATTTATCAGATGATGGACAGTGGGTTGTTTCCACTTTTTTTTTGTTTGTTTCCACTTTTTGGCTATTATAAATAATGCTGCTATGAACATGTGTGTGTAATATCCTGTCCTTTTTAAAGAGAATGTATTCATCTAATCTATTTGTGTAATTGAAATTTTAAAAACATACAGCATTTTTTAGTAAATGTCAAATGTATGTATACATAATATATACACACATTTTTTATATAGATAGATGATGGATTCTTCTCCTGAGACCTGCATTAGTTGGGCATCTTTGTTTTGACCAGACCTTTAAGTGTACATTTAAATGAGTTGTAATTACAAGTCCTCTAAGCCAAATGTATAGAGTAGTGACATTTTCCCAGTCTTGGAGTGATGGAAGGGTGTTGGCTAAGAGATGCCAGTACCAGGAAGCAGGAGAAATCCAGCACATACTGCAGGTTCAGGGTCAGTTAGTACCATTTGGAGAACAAGCAAGGTCCACAGGTCCAAGAAGGGTGACCAAGTTTAGCTGCCCTCAAAGGAGTGCAGGAAAGAAGGAGCAGGCCCCAAGCGTCTGGATCACCGCAGATTGGGAAGAGCAAGCTGGTTAACAGACATAACGCTGAGAAACCTGAACGTGACGTGGCCTTTGAGCCCAGGCCCGGAGGCGTCGGGTGTGTAGGCTGTGTGTGCGTGGGCAAGGGCTCAGGCTTGTGGTGTGCGATTGGGGGTGGGAGGGTCCTGATTACAGCAGGTGCTGAGAAACTGAGTCCTCCCACAGTACTCCCACACAATCTCACAGTAGTCATTTCCTTTGGTTTTCAGCATAGCTTGGCAAGTAAGTAGCTAAATGACAGCCAAATGTAGTTAGTCTCGGTGTCTCCTCCAGGCCTTATCTAAAGTGGAGATATCAATTGTATCACAAAAGTGAACTTCTTCGCAGCCACAGGCTGAGTTTTGCGGTGGGCAAGAGTCTGCCGGCAAGGCTCACTCGTCCCCTAGCGCATCCCCAGGGAAGTGTCTCTGTGCCCAGCGGGCCTGCTGGGGGCATGGGTTCTCACACACACCTGCTCATGCACCCGTGAAAAATTAAACCATCACATGACTTTTCTAAGCCCATCCAATAGGAGTTTTGCTCAAAATAATCTCTCCGGTCCTCACCCTCCTAATTCAGTCTCTCTGACCGACTCTAGGATAGATTTTTACAGCTCTCATCTCTGCCTGCGTCTCCAGCACAGCACCCCTGCCCCCAGGCAGCTAGTTCAGTCCCAGGCCAGGACCTGTTAATGTAGATGACAACTGAATAACCAGGTTCATCTCACTGATGGCAAGCAGTCAAAACACAAACAATACTCATGATCTTAGTATGTAAAAAACATTGAAGAGTTAAAATATATTGGGAAAAGGATGTGGATTTGTGATGGAAAATGTTCTCAGGGGAAGCTTTTAGAACATAAATTATTACATTTTATTTTGTATTTATTAGGTGTACAGTGCTTCGCAATCTCCAAAGCATAGGTTTACCTGGATAAATGAGGGCATTGCTCTAGTAACCTATTTCCTTTGGATAGACTATTCAACCCTTTAACAAATTTCATATTTATTATTAAACTTAGAATAAAGTTGGAAGGAGCCTCATATTAGCTATTTCCAAAAGTTGAATAGTCTCAACTTGCCAAAGGGGATGAAAGTGCTACCTAATTATAGCTAATGTGGTTATTATGTGGCAAGCACTTTAGAAGGATCATTTCAAATAAATGAACTTTCTCACAACACTATGAGATAGTTATGGTTATTATTCCCATTTTACTGATAAGGAAACCAAGTCTTACGCTAAAGAGCTTGCCCAAGTCACACCGCCGGCAAGCAGTGGCACTGGAACTCGGTCCAGGTTTTACACGAGCAGGGGCCTCGCCCTACTGTTCATCCCTGGATCTCAGGGCCTGACCAAGAGTAAGCCCTCAAATATTTATCCAGTGAGTTGAATTTGTTCGTGTATGAATATTTTCATTATAGTCTTAGGTAAAAATTGTTTTCTGTTCTTATGCCCACTGTACTCTTGAGACATTCTTGAGATATGATGTGAGTAACTGCAAGTATTTTCGTTCACATATACAGTATATTATTTTTAGGAACATGAGAGAATTTCAAGAGTCCATGAAGAGTTTAAGAAAAAAAGGAATGTGAGTAAAACCATTTTCTTCTTTAAAGTGTATTCTTATCCAGGTACAGTGGTGACAGCTGACAGATTTTAGATTCTTGCAGCTAAAGTAGTTCTTTTTTTGTATTTCTTAAGATGCTACTTGTTAGGGACCATGGGTGGCTGCTGGGTGCCTTTTTTTTTTTTTAATTTACCTTTTGGCTGCGTTGGGTGTTCGTTGCTCTGCGTGCAGGCTTTCTCGAGTTGCAGCGAGTGGGGTCTACTCTTCGTTGCAGTGCACGGGCTTCTCATTGTGGTGGCTTTTCTTGTTGCAGAGTGCAGGCTTCAGTAGTTGCAGCACACGGGCTCAGTAGTTATGACACGTGGGCACTAGAGCACACAGGTTTCAGTAGTTGTGGCGTGTGGGCTCAGTAGTTGTGGCGCACGGGCTTAGTTGCTCTGCGGCATGTGGGATCTTCCCGGACCAGGGCCGAACCCATGTCCTCTGCACTGGCAGGCAGATTCTTAAACCCTGAGCCACCAGGGAAGCCCCTGGGTGCCTTTTCTTCTCGTCTCTGTCCTGAATACATTCTGCTGTTCTTGATTTAGGAGCCCAGGGAAATGAGCACCCATATAGAGCTCTTCACCCACATTTCATTCACAAAGATTAAGTTCTTTTACAGGTTTCTAATTCCATCCTTAACTTAATTGCACAAATTAGAGGATGGAGGGAGCTTTTATTAATCCATTAATTACTTTTTAATGTATTTTAATACTCAAGGGCGCCTCAGCTCTCTACTTCGACTCAATTTCGCTGTGAACCAAAAGCTTCTAAAAAATAAAATCCACTGAAAAAAATGTAGAGAGCTTACCTGTTATTCTTGTTAGGCAGATTTTGAAATCTGCCGCAGGAAAATCTGCTATGAAAGGTCATTTTCTGGGTGATAATGTGTGTTTCTGTGTTTTTTGCTGAGGAAGCCAGAGGCTGAGATAATAGCTATGTTTCTTTTCTAGGATCCTACATTTCTGGAAAAAAAAGAACGCTGTGATTATCTGAAGAATAAACTTTCTCACATAAAGCAAAGGATTCAAGAATATGATAAAGTAATGAATTGGGATGTAGAGGGTTATTCTTAAAACTTATTTGAAACCACTTTTTTATATCAAACTTCATATTTATTTACTGTCTTTTTTTATGTTCGTCTCTGTGATAGAGAAGCAAATGCCTCCTGAATCAGCTTGTAGTTGGTTTAGCTGGTATGTCAAGTTAAAACAGTATGTGATTGCATTTCAGACATTTCAAAACAAATTCAAATTTACTAAGGGCCTTTACTAAGGGTGGAAGAAATTCTGGATTCATCTGTGTACAATTTATATTTATCTTGTTAAAATTGATTTAAGCATTGTGTCCTTGTGGTTGATGATCAAGTGGAGTGTCAATTCTGGTGCTGCTTTTTCCTTTTTTACTTAGGCCATTTCCTGGGATTCTTTTAGGACAAATTTCTCTTCCTAGCCAAAGATGTCATTTCTGCCCTTGAAAGGGGTTTGAATTCACCATTTTGAAGCCTTATGATCTTGGGCGAGTTGTTTAATCTGCCTGTGCCTATTTCCTCATCTGTAAAATGGGGCTCATCATAGGACCTACCTCCTAGGGTTGTTATGAGGATTAAATGAGTCAATATTTGTAAAGCACTTAGAACAGAGCCTGGCACATTTGTGAGCACTGCATTAGTGTTTGTGAACTATATAGACGTGTTTGTGGAATGAATAAACTACATAGAATAAGTCTCAAGGAAAGGACCTTAAAGAGCAAGTCCAGCCAGCTAAACCAAGGCCATGGCCTCATGACTTTCTTTTTTTTGTGCTGTAAATAAATCTTACAAACATCGCCTTAAGCAGATGCTTCCCTGTGGCCCTGTGCCTACTGGGGTCCAGTGCAGCCGCCTTTTCTTTAATCAGCATCACTGTGCACATCTCTCAACGTCCCCACAGCCCAGCCCTTCCTGTAAACCTCAAATACAAGGATTGTGTGAATATTGTTGCCATTTCTATCCTGTTTAGATGTCCATCCTAAGGCCCCATGATGTTGCATCTGCTTAGAATCTCCCTTTGATTTATTGGAATGCTTCATTGTCCCAAGAATTATCTTGGCTTTGAGGCTTTATTCATGAGAAATGTTTTATTTTTATTAATGTGAACAAGAGACTGCTTTAAAAATGTTTTAAAAAAATCATTGTTATTGGTTCCTATTCAGCAGCATCTATCTTGTAGATAATTTCCCAGGTGTAGAAATACAATTTCTGCTTCATATAGTTGCCGTTCAAACAATTAATACTGGAGGAATTTTCGAAGTGATGAAACCAAAGAAAAGAATGTGGAAAAGCGAAGGCTGACCGAGTATTGGATACTGAATAAACTTCCTACTTCTTCTTTGTCAGTGATATCTTATTTAGTGTATATTGTTACTATTTTCAATCCATGGTTCTCAGACTATGCTTAGGGTGCTGAGAGTCTTAAGAGGTGATACTGAGGAAAGTGTGAGGCTAGGCTCCCTCTGGACCGCCCCCCAAACTAGAACAGCTGCACGTTCTGTTTTACATATTGGGACCCCATGTTAACATTTCGCATAAGAAGAGCATGCTTTAATAAAAAAAGAAAGATGAGGGGCTTCCCTGGTGGCGCAGTGGTTGAGAGTCCGCCTGCCGATGCAGGGGACGCGGGTTCGTGCCCCGGTCTGGCTGGGCCCGTGAGCCATGGCCGCTGAGCCTGCGTGTCCGGAGCCTGTGCTCCACCACGGGAGAGGCCACCACAGTGAGAGGCCCGCGAACCGCAAAAAAAAAGAAAGAAAGATGAAATAATACCAATTTGATGAACTGTAAAGAGATTAATATTGAAATGAAGTGTTAAGGAAATTTGACTTTGTGAAACTTTATTTTACTACAGTTGTAAATGTTAATCTTTGAAGACCAATGTTGTAATGCTGATTTTTACAGTTTTTATGTGAATACCTAGGCATATTAAAATTTCAGTCACCTGTTGTTTTGTGTGTATCCTTTATTGTTTACTTTTCTAGCGTTCCTGAGTTGACTGGGCATATTCTCCATTATCAGAAAATAAACCGGAAAGTCATTGAAAACTTGTAGATCATGATGCTCAGGTGACTATTTCCTTCTCCCCCATTATTTGCAAGAATTCAAAGTTAAGGCCACTGTTGGTTTCCTCGGGCTGCCTGCCTTAACCAAGTACCACAAGCTTAAAACAACAGAAATGTATTGTCTCACAGTTCTGCAGGCTTGAAGTCTGAAATCAAGGTGTCAGCAGGGCCAACCTCCCTTGAAGCCTGTAGGGGAATCCTTCCCAGTTTCTGGTGGTTTGGGCTGGCAGTCTTTGACATTCCTTAGCTTGTATACATATTGCCCCAATCCTCTGTCTTCACGTGGCCTTCTCCCTGTGCCTCTGTCTTAACAAGGCTATGTTCTTATAAGGACACCAGTCATATTGGATCAGGGACCCACCCTCTCTAGTATGACCTCACCTTAACTAATTACACCTGCAAAGACCCTATGTCCAAATAATGTCACATTCTGAGGTCCCAGAGGTTAGGACTTCAACCCATCTTCTTTGGAGAGGACACAGTTCAACCCATAACAGCCACCTTTAGCAAGTTGTGAGATTCAGAAAAAGATAGTTCCCTGTACATTTTTTTCTCACCTGACTTTTAACATGTATTCTATTTTGAAACTTAATATGAGAAGATATCAGCATATCTAAAACTTGAAAAGAGAAAAGTATATATCCTTCACTCATTCATTTGTCAGTTATGTGCCAAATGCTTTCATTGGCCAGATGTTCTAGCACTGAAGATATGGTAGTCAGTAAAACAGGTAGAGACCCTGAGGTTACTGTCTAACAGGAGGATCTGAATGAGAAGATAAAGGATTGGTGATGAAGTATGCATTTTTCTTATGTGCTTTTCTATAAATGGTTTGTGTAGAGACCCTGATACTGAGATGCACCAATGTTCAAAAGATAGACAATATAGGAAAAATCTATAATTTTTTCTGACTCAATTTTTTTAAAAAAACTATTAGAGAAAAATTTTTTGAAGAAAAATACTGAATAGATACAAAAGCATAGAAAATGGAAGTCCTGCCACCCTGGTCATATATACTGTTTGGAGCATATCCTTCCAGTCTTTTTATTTTTTTATTTTTATTTTATTTTATTTTATGTATTTATTTATTTTTGACTGTGTTGGGTCTTCATTGCAGCACACGGGCTTTCTCTAGTTGCGGCGAGCAGGAGCTACTCTTCGTTGTGGTGTGCAGGCTTCTCATTGCGGTGGCTTCTCTTGTTGCGGAGCACGGGCTCTAGGCACACGGGCTCAGTAGTTGTGGCTCACGGGCTTAGTTGCTCAGCTGCATGTAGGATCTTCCTGGAACAGGGCTCGAACCTGTGTCCCCTGCATTGGCAGGCGGATTCTTAACCACTGTGCCACCAGGGAAGTCCCTTCCAGTCTTTTTATAATACATGTAATCAGTTTTAAATGGTCTACTTTAATACCATAAGTGTTTTCAAAGAAGAGTATCTGGGAGGCTGCACCAGCATGTGGTAGAGCGGCTCTCCAAGCCAGGCTTAGAAGGAAGGTAGGAGGAGCCCAGCAGAAGGGCAAGGTGGACTTCAAGCTCACCACAACAAAGACTCCTTTATTTCCTGTGTGATCTTGAACCTAAGCATCAGCCTCCTTATGTGTGACGGGATAATATTACTACCTGATGAAACTTATCAGAATTAAATGGAATAAGGTTTGTAAAATATCAGGAAGATGCTTGCTCGATTAGTGGTGGCTAGCTATTCAATTCAAACTGTACTTTTCACTAAGTTAGATAATGAATTGGCTGTTTTAAAGGTAGAATATCAAAATGACTTTGATAATAACAATAATAAAGGACTGTTTTTGAAAGTGTGTAGGTAATGCATTTATTGCAGAAAAATTTAGAAAATGAACTCTTCCAAGCTCACACAAATAAAATTGCCCATAATTCTGCCCTTGGAGATAGTCACTTAACATTTGAGATCATATCCTTCCATTCTCATCTTACACAGGTATGTATTTGTGTAAGCATATTATATACAGAAAGTTTTGGTATTTACAAAATGAGTATTATATAGTACGTTGTGTTTTGTGTTTTAATTAATAAAACTAGACTGTAATTTTTCTGAATTTATAGTTTTTATGTTTTCTATTTATTTCATTTTAATGCAGTTATATTATTGTTTTAGTTACTGATGTTCATGTTGTATGGCGGAAAAAGCAAGGAATGGGAGTTAGGTCTAGATTCAAGCTGTGTGGCCTCAGGCGCCTAAGTCACTTAACTCCTTTGAGCAATGGGATTAGATGAGGTAAAAGTACCTAAGGTGGGAACTTCCCTGGCCCTCCAGTGGTTAAGACTCCGAGCTTCCAGTGCTTCAGTCCCTGGTGGGGGAACTAAGATCCCACAGGCGTGTGGCACAGCAAAACAAACAAAAATTACCTGAAATAATGTCATAAACCATAAATCTCTGAAAAATCCTTACATTTATTTATATTTTTGTTCTGATAATGTTATCAATAAGAAATTTTCTTTAGTTCATTATAACTTGATAATAATAAATATAATAAAATATAAAACAGCATATTTATAAAATAAAATATAATAAAAATAGCATATTTACTATATAATCAGGGCTTCTTTGGAGGTCTGTATATTCTGGTACAGCCAGAATGGCCTTGATACATACAAAGAATATTTCCATTTCAGCTGATTGACTTGGAAGCCACAGCATGTGCCAGTGTGAAAGGAGCAAAGAGCAGGCCACTGGGGAACGGGAGGAATTTTCCAATTAATGGAGTACAGATTTGGCACCTTCCTTTCTTCTTTATAAAGTAGAAAAAAGGCCCCCAGATATAAGAACTTCGTCACGCACCCCACTTCCAGGTATGGTTTTCTTTTTTTTTTTTTTCCCTTCGGTATGCGGGCTTCTCATTGTTGTGGCCTCTCCCATTGCGGAGCACAGGCTCTGGACGCGCAGGCCCAGCGGCCATGGCTCACGGGCCCAACCGCTCCGCAGCATGTGGGATCTTCCCGGACCAGGGCACGAACCCGTGTCCCCTGCATCGGCAGGCGGACTCTTAACCACTGCGCCACCAGGGAAGCCCCAGGTGTGTATTTAATGACAATTCTGTTTGCCTTGTAATTTGTTTAATGAATAACCCTACCACTTAACTGCTTTGGAGAAACTAAAGTTATTGCAAGATATTAGACCCATAGTAGGCGTTTATCAAGACCGTTTGAATTGTAAGTAGTGTACAATGTTGCTCTTTTTACACAAAACACCATTTTGTGCTACCAGTTAAAACTATTTGTAATCATTATTTATGGGGGAATTTTAGTAGGAGGATTTAGCAGTCAGTGTTCTCAGTCATAAGCCACAAAAACCAAAGCTGGTTGATTTAAGAAGAGAGATTTATTACTATCTACTGTCTAGCTTACAGAATTGCTGGGAGACCTGGAAAACTGAGTTGGAGGCTATGCAGCAGGAAAAATGCCCAAAATCACACCTAAAATCCAATCCGGTGAAAACAGCTCTCCTGCTCCTGCTGCCCTCTGTGTGCCAAATGCACTACCAGCCCTGCCATCCTTGGAAGTGTGACTCAGATTCAGATGATTCAGAGTGAGAGATGGATTGGTGGAAGCTAGGTCCCGTGCCATGCTCTAATTGCAAAGGAGACTGGGATGGGAAGGGCCTTTTGAGCTTCAGCAGGCCGACCCGGCTTCCTACTGAGATTCATCACTTGGGGAATTCCCCAGAGTATGAAG